ATAAAGGAGAAAATGAACACATGGGACTACATCAAACTAAAAAGCTTCTGCACAGCAAAAGAAACAATCATCAAAATGGAAAGGCAACCCACTGTATGGGAGAACATCATTGCCAATGATGTATCAGATAAGGGGTTAATTTCCAATATATATAGTGCTCATACAACTCCACAAAAGGAAGACAAAGAACCCAATTAAAAAATGGGCAGAGGAGCTGAATAGACACCTCTCCAAACAGGACATACAAATGGCCAAGAGACATATGAAGAAATGCTCAACATCACTAATCATCAGAGAGATGCAAATTAAAACAACAATGAGGTATCACCTCCCACCTGTCAGAATGGCCGCCATCAACAAATCATCAAACAACAAGTGTTGGCGAGGGTGTGGAGAAAAGGGAACTCTAATACACTGCTGGTGGGAATGCAGACTGGTGCAGCCGCTATGGAAAACAATATGGTGCTACCTCAAAAAGTTAAAAATTGAACTTCCATTTGACCCAGTGATCCCACTGCTGGGAATATACCCTAAGAAGCCTGAAACACCAATCAGGAAGAATATATGTACCCCCATGTTCATAGCAGCACTGTTTACAATAGCTAAGATCTGGAAACAGCCCAAGTGTCCACCAGTAGATGAATGGATACAAAAGCTGTGGTACATATACACAATGGAGTACTATGCAGCGGTAAGAAAGAAAGATCTCTTATCCTTTGAGACGACATGGAGGGACCTGGAAAGTATTATCCTAAGTGAAACAAGCCAAGCAGAAAAAGACAAATACCCCATGATCTCACTTATATATGGAATATAATGAACATAACAGTCTGAGGAATACAGTAGACCCAGACACATGGAAGTAGGGCACAGACTGACATCCCTCAGAAGAGGGGATGGGTGGTGGGGGGGTGGGAAGAGATAAACCACAGAACTTATATGCATGTATGCATGACCAATGGACATGGACAACTAAGCAGGGGACAGGGTGGAGGGGGGGTAGGGTGGGGGGTGCCAATGGGGTAAAAAGGTAAAATATCTGTAACAAAAAAATAAATAAAAATTCATATTAAAAAAAAAAATTAAAAAAAAAAATTTCTTCTTCCCTTCCCTTAAGCTTAAATTATAAGTTTAGCTAAATAACAACAATAAATTGAGAGTTATTTTTTTCTTCTGAAGATGTACACCTTTTTCTTTCTCACAAAGTGCTGCTAGTGTGAAGTCTTCTCTCAACTGAATTGTTATTAATATGTAGATAATCTGTCATTTGTAATTTTGCTATGATTTCTTTATCTCTGAAATTCTGCATCTTTACTATGAAATGTCTACATGTGTTTAAATTTATTATATTAGGTGCTGAGTACTTTTTATTCTCTACATTTAAGCTTTTCTTAATTAAAAAATTTCTCAATAATTATACCTGCAAATTGTTGCATCTCACCAATGCTTCATTCTCTTCTTCTAAAAATCTTATTTTACAAATATGAAATCATCTCAACCTATCTTCTGTTATGTTTTATTTTCTCTTTCTTATTTCTAAGGATTATTTCATATTTCACTAGTGTTTCTTTGTCTAGTCTTTAGATCATTTTATTTTTAATATGTTCAGATTAGAGGTCTAATGGGTTTGTTCTTTTAAAATATCTATGTATTTTTATTTCTTAATTATTTTAGTCATAGTTATCCTTTCATTTATTTCTTTGAACATTTTAAACACTTTATCAGATTATTACATAAAAATAATTTCCTGTGGAGTAAATTTCTGTTTCAACCAGTTTACATTTTTTTTTTCATAACATTGGATTTCTTGTATTTTGAAATTTTGATTTGTGGCCTCATTTTTTTTCCTTTCTCGTACTCACCTCTTCATTTTCCTCTTTGACAGCCCTGTGTAAGGTAGCCAGGCACCGCTGGTGGGAGGTGGGAAGAAACTAAAGAGCCAAACAGCTGAATAAGCAGAAATCAGGCTTTATTGGGTACACTCCGGGCAGGTTCACAGACTCTGGGGGTCGAGTCTGAGAAGCCGCGCCCAATGCTGGGGTCTGTGATTTTTATATCTGTGCCTGTGGCAGCGGGAATTTGTTGTTAGAGTTAGGTCCTGAGGGGCTACACATGGGCGCCCCTGGAATGTGAGTCTATTGTCCCAGAGCAAACAGTTCCTGGACTAGGACAGGAGAATGGGACAGGAGTTGATCTATGAGTTCGGGGCAAACAGTTCCTGAAACAGCGTGAGAGTTTAGGTTGGGTAAGCGAGGTAATGGCTGAACAGTTTGCCTGGCGCCAGTTCCCAGGCTATTGGACATTCCCGACTCTGTGATATAGGAATAGGGGCCAGGTCGTCTTTCTGACTACTTCCTGCTGAACAGGGAGGAAGGGGGGGGGACTGTTCAAAGGCTGGTAATGTTGTAGCATCATTTGGTGGACCTCTACTGTCCGTGTAAGCTGTGCGAATCGGTCCTGGATGAAGCGGAGAAAACAGGGGGCAATTAGCAGTATAATTATTATGATGATGGTTGAGCTGAGGAGGGGGAGGAGTAAGGAGTACATGGAGGAATTCCACCAGGAGGAGGTGTCTACTGAGAACTTTTGTTTTTTTAGTTCTGAACTTAGCAGGTGGAGGGTTTCAATGCGGGTTTCTATCAAACCTGATTCATTGAAATAAAAGCAACATTCTTCCCCAAGAAAGAGACAGGTTCCTCCGTGTTCCGCTGTGAGGGGGTCCAGGGCCCTTCGATTTTGCATCGACAGCTGGGCCAGGGAGGTGATCTGCCTCTGGAGAGAAGCTAGGGACTCAGCTGAGCTGTCAATAGCAATCTGAAATTGAGATTCTAAGCGTTCTGAGGTGACTAAGGAGTGTGCCAGGGCACCCCCTCCCAGTCCACCGGCGACAGCCGAGGCTGAGAAGGAGAGTCCTACTAAAAGTGGCAAAAAGATTGCCCGCTTTTGTTTCGGGTTGTAATATATGTATTTTTGTTGGAATTCAGCAGGTGTATAGACCATGAGTTGGGGGGTTAGGGTGACAGGCAGGCAGAGAAGAGTGGGATCCAAGGGGGTCGAGAGGGTTTTCGATAAGGTATGATTACACCAGAAGAAATAGCCTTTAGGGGCAGTTAAGTTGAAAGTGGGAGATTGTGTGACATTGTAAAAGTTGGATGGACTGTTACTGTAACAAAAGGGAATTTGAGAGAGATCAGGAGGCATATATAGGGCTACATCGGCAAGAGGAGTCATAAGTTTTGGTGCGGTGGACATCCCAGAGCAGTTGAGAGCGGCGGGATAAGGGACCGCAGTCAGAGGAGGTTTCCTAAGGTTGCACACATTAAACAAGATGAGAGGTTGCCTACCCCAGTGAGATTGGCTAGTATTAGACCTTCCTGGAGAAGAGAGAGCCATGAAAAGGGGGAGGTTTGGGCAGCTAATTGTCTGGTGAGTAGGGATTCCTGGGTCTGGATGTTATCGTGGACTTCGCCAGTAAGTTGGACTAGGGCTCGCCAGACATACATGTGGGAAGATGGCATATGGGAGTACCTGGAGTAGTACACGGCCCCCCTCTGAAGGGTCGCCCATTTGGAGTCAGTCGGATCAGAAATAATGAGGGAGAAGGACTGTGTGCGGTTCATGGTGCGGGGATAGAGGGAGATTCCTGATGGGGATGGGGGGTATTGGGCCTCTGGGCTGCATGAATGTTGCAGCTGCTCCATTGACATCCCATGCAGGGATGCCAGGGGCTGGAGGGGGACTGGCAGTGAGTAGGCTGATCCTGAAAAAAGCAGACTGCAGGAGCCCATTGGTTCTGTGTGAAAGGGTTTTTGAAGTCAGTGAAATTTTGGAAGAGAGGGCTTTTGCATCCCGTGGATGAGCAGTCGGTGGTAGTGAGTAGCCATCCCTGGGTATAGTGTCCCTCTGGATTTCGACAGATTTTAACAAATCCAGTGGTGGAATTTTCTGTGAGATAAAATCTCCAGACAAAGGTCTTAGTCTGGGGTCCTGCGTTTGAGTCTGAGAGACAGAGGACCAATAGGAGTAGCGGTCAAAGGGGGGTCATCCTGAGGGATGGCCTTTTTTATCCTGGAGAGGTGAACCCACGTGGAGATGCCCAGGACCTTTGCTGCTGATGGGGTGGTTAGGACGATCGTATAGGGTCCTTTCCACTTAGGAGCAAGGGGCTTTGGGGAAAGGGTCTTTATAAAAACCTGGTCCCCTGGGGCGACCCGCTCCGTCGTTCCTGCTCCCGGGCTGGGCTCAGGAAGGGTGGAGTTAGCGTGTTCCCGAAGGAGGGAGCGGAGAAGGGAGAGGTAGGGAAGGTATGAAGCCAGATGAGGTGGGTGCGATGGGGATGGGGCCGACAGGAGGAAAGGTCGGCCGTAGAGGAGTTCGAAGGGGCTCAGTTGGGAAGGCCCCCTCGGGGCAGCCCTTAGGCGGGTCAGAGCCAGGGGAGAAGAGTGGGCCAAGACTGACGGAGCTCTAGGCTGAGCTTGGTCAGATGTTCTTTGATGAGCCTGTTGGCCCTTTCAACTTTACCAGACGACTGAGGGTGGTAGGCCGCATGCAGCCTCCACTGTATGTCGAGGGAGGTGGAGACAGCTTCTGTGACCTTGGAGATGAAGGCGGGCCCATTGTCTGACTGGATGGAGGTAGGCAGGCCAAAGCGAGGGATGATGTCCCGGACCAGGTGGTCAGCTACAGTCCCCGCAGTTTCTGAGGTGGTGGGAAAAGCCTCAATCCATCCTGAAAAGGTATCAACCATAGTTAAAAGATATTTAAGATTTTTGTGTCTGGGCATGTGGGTAAAATCGACCTGCCAGTCCTGTCCGGGGAGATGGCCCCGCATCTGGTGAAGTGGGCGGCGGATGTGGCAGGACCCCTGGCTGTTTGTCCTGGAACAGGTAGAGCAGGAGGAATGGACGGCTTGAATGGTTTGTTGGAGGCGGTTGGGGTGGAAGAGGGGAGAGAGGAAATGATAAAGAGCCTTAGGTCCAATATGTAGGGACTTGTGGATGTCAGAGATTATCTGGTATCTCTGAGAATCTGGGAGGATGAGGAGGTTGTCCTTGAATGCCCATCCATCCTTGAGCTGGATTTCCGGGGAAGATTGAAAAAGGTCTTGTTCTGTGGAGGAATATTGTGGTCTGTATGTTTTTGAAAGAAAGCATATTAGCAGAGGTGGGGTGTGCACGCGCTATGGGGCGAGCTGTCTCATCGGTGAAGGCGTTTCCCTTAGCAACAGGGGAATTGGAGGTCTGGTGGCCTTTGCAATGCATAATGGCCACCCGCAAAGGGAGTTGGATGGCCTGAATGAGCCTAGAAATGAGTGTGCCATTGAGAACAGGCGTTCCCTTGGTCGTGAGGAAGTCTCGTTCCTTCCAAATCATACAGTAGGAGTGTGCGATGAGAAAGGCATATTTGGAGTCTGTGTATATGTTGACTGTCTTATTTTTGGCCCAGATGAGGGCCCGGGTCAGGGCGACTAGTTCGGCCTGTTGTGAGGTGGTCCCTAAGGGGAGGCTGTTAGCTTCTATGACCTGGGTGTCAGAGACGATGGCATAGGCGGCACGCCGGGGCCCCGGTGGTTTGGAAATTGAGCTGCCATCTATGTAAAAGGTATGTTGGGCTTCTGGCAGAGGATGGGCCATTAGGTCGGGTCGGGGAGATTTAGATTCCTCTAAGATTTTGAGGCAGGAGTGTGTAGAGACGGGCAGGTCAGAGACAGGAAGGAGGGTAGCTGGATTAAGAGGGCTACAGTTGGAGAGGGTGATAGAGGGGTTTTTTATAAAGAGGAGGTGGTACAGCTGGAGTCGGGAGGGCCCAAGATGGGCCAGAGCCTGGTGTGAGAGAAGGTCTGTAAGGCGATGGGGAGAGAAGACCTGTAATGGTTGTTGGAGGTTGATTTTCAGAGCCTCGGTGGTGAGATCGGCTGCAGCTGCAAGAGCTCGGAGACAGGGTTGCCATCCGTGAACCGTGGGGTCCAGCTGTCTGGAGAGATAGGCTACCGGGACCAGAGTTGGACCCGTCGGTTGGGCTAAGACTCCGAGAGCTAAGTGGTGTCTCTCCTCAGTATATAGGACGAAGGGTCGTGAGGGATTAGGTAAGGCCAGGGCCGAGGCTGAGCAGAGGGCCTTCAGGAGGGCCGAGAAGGCCTGGCGAACGCCTTCGGGGGATGTCAAGGGCCCCTCGGGCGTTTCTTTGGCTGCCAGATAGAGGGGTTTGGCTAGAAGGGCAAAGCCTGGGACCCAGTGGCGAAAGAAGCCTACCAGTCCCAGAAATGACTGGATTTCAGCCGCCGAGTTAGGGGGCTGCAGGCCCCGAAGAGCCTGTAGCCTGTCGGTGGTAATGGCTCGATGGGTCGGGGTGACTAGGAGGCCAAGGTAAGTGACAGACGAGGTGGCTATTTGTGCCTTCTTGGAGGATACCCGATATCCCTTGCTGCAAAGGAAATTCAGTAGGAGGGTGGTGGCCGTGAGGCAATCGGCCTTGGTTGGTGAGCAGATCAGAAGATCGTCTACATATTGTAAAAGGGTGAAGGGAATTAAATTGCAAGCAAGTAGGTCTGCAGCTAATGCTTGTCCAAATAGGTGAGGACTGTCCCGGAATCCTTGGGGGAGGACCGTCCAGGTCAGTTGTTGAGCGGTATTGGAAACAGGGTCCTCCCAGGTAAAGGCAAATAGGAAGTGGGAATCCGGGTGGAGGGGTATAGTGAAGAAGGCATCCTTGAGGTCAAGGACCGAAAAATGGGTGGTGGTAGGGGGAATGTGAGAGAGAAGGGTATAGGGATTGGAGACTACTGGGGAAATGGGGACGGCCGCTGCATTGATGATGTGGAGGTCCTGAACAAGGCGGTACTGTCCTGAGGCCTTTTTAATGGAGAGAATGGAAGTATTACAAGGTGAATTGATGGGGATCAGGAGGCCTTGTGTCTTAAGCCTGGTCATGATGGGCAGGAGTCCCATCCTATGAGCGTGTGAGATGGAGAATTGCGGGCGGTTAGGAAAAGAAGATGGGTCTTTGAGTTTAATTAAAACAGGAGTGTGGTGGGAAGCAATGGTGGGGGTATCCGTGTTCCAGACCTCGGGGTGGACTCCAGGTAGGAGCTGGACGTTGGGGTCTGGGTCAGGCTCAAGGTCGGGGCCTGGCACCAGTGCCAGCAAGAAGGTCTGTTTCGGGGAGAATGAGATGCTTGCCTGGAGTTTGGACAGAATGTCTCTCCCCAGGAGGGGGACTGGACATGAGGGCATGACTAGGAAGGAGTGGGAGAACAGGTGACCCTCAAATAGGCAGTTAAGGAGGGTCATCCGCTGTGGGGTTGAGGGTGATCCGTCAATTCCCATGACCGAGACCTGGGAAGGAACCGTAAGGCCCAAATGAGAGGGAAGGACAGAGTAGGCAGCCCCCGTGTCTACCAAAAAGGAGACAGACTTACCCGCTACCTGGAGCGTGACCCTGGGCTCAGCGAGGGTAACCGGAGTCGAAGAGCCAGGGCCCCCTCAGTCGTCCATTAGCCCCAGCAGTTCTAGGGCCGGGAACGTCTGGTTCTCAGTCCCCCTGCATTGAGGTGCCGAGGGCTGAGCCAGGGTCGGGCAGTCCAACTTCCAGTGGCCCATTTGTTTGCATCCAGGGCAAGGCTTGGTGGGGGGCCTAGGCTGCGGACAGGCCTTCGCCCAGTGGCCTTCCTTTCCGCATTTGAAACAGGCGCCCGGGGGTGTGCGCTGTCCTCCTTTGGAGGTCAGTCTTTTTGCTGGTTCCCCTGCCGGCCGGAGGGCCGCTACCAAGGCTTGGGTCTGGAGGCTAACTTTCTGTTGCAGCCGCGCCTGCCGGGCTGCTTCAGCCGTCTCCTCCTGGGCGTTAAAAACTTTAAAAGCCATTTTTACCAGGTCTCGGATGGGAGTCTCAGGGCCCTCTTCAGCCTTTTTTAGTTTTTTCCTGATATCTGGGGCGGACTGAGAGATGAAGTGGGAGGCTAGGATTGTGGCCCCGTTGTGGGACCCCGGGTCTAGGCGGGTGTAGCGAACCAGGGCCTCCTGCAGGCGGTTGAGAAAAAGGGCCGGGTTCTCTTCGGGGAGCTGGGTAATTTCTTTCAATTTGTCATAGTTAATTATTTTATTGGAGACTGCGTCCATACCCCAAAGGAGGTATTGGAGCATGAGGTTCCGGCGCGGAATATTAGATCCAGGGCCGGCCTGATAGTTCCATGCAGGATCGTCCTGGGGAACTGCTTCATTGCCGAGGGGGACAGTATTGTCTATTAGGTGGTCTCTATCTGCCTGCTGCCTGGCGGCAGAGAGGATACGCTCATGTTCCTCAGGGGTGAGAGTGGAGGTGCAGATTACTTTGATGTCATGCCATGTCAGGTCATAAGTCTGGGACAGGTATCGGAACTCTCTGATGTAGGTTGAGGGGTCAGCTGAGAAGGATCCTAACCTCTTTTCAATCTGAGAGAGGTCCTGGAGGGAGAAGGGGACATGTACCCGCACCAGTCCTTCTGCCCCAGCCACCTTGCAGAGAGGGGCCAGGACAGCAGGCAGGGATTGGGGAGTGCGAGATTGGGTATGGGCTGCTACGGGAGAGCCCAGGGGGTCAGCGGGAGGTGGGGCAGCCGGAGCCGGGTCAGGACCAGGGGGGTCTTCTCTGAGGAGGGTTGGGGGAGGTGATAGGTGATCAGGGAGGTCATCAGTCAGAGAGTAAGGATGGGGGTCTATAGGAGGTGCCTTTGGAGGAGGGGAAGTCTGGGCTAGGAGAATCTGGAGAGTAGAGCAGTGTGAGCAAAGGTCAGGGCGGAAGCGGAGGTCCCAAAAGCCTGAATGTATGGGATCTTAGCGTCCTTTCCCGTCCACCGGCAAAAATTGGCCAGGTCCCAGAGGACATTAAAGTCAAAAGTACCCGTAAGTGGCCAGTGAGACTGGTTGTCTAGGGTGTATTGAGGCCAAGCGACCTGGGACAAGAAGATGAGTTTCTTCTTGTGGAGGGTCTGAGAGTATCCCTATTTGGAGAAGTTTATAAGAAGACATCCCAAAGGAGTCTTAGGGTCTATTTTGGATTCGGAGTTTCCCATAATTTAGTGGCCTTCCGAAACCCTAAGTGTCGAAGGAGAAAGGGTATGAGGGAGGCGTCCCTTCCAGATACCCGTCTCGGGATAGAGATAGAGGGGTGACTGAAAGGCGTCCCTTTCAATCAGGCCCCCTATATAGACTCCAGGAGTCGTGAGGGGAGGGCTCTCGGCTCGGCCGAGTCTAGGACGAGAGACCCTGGCGGGGACACAGGGGTCCGGCAGGAAAAGAAAGGGATCGAATTACTTACGGTTGCAAGCTGTATCTGCAGGGAGCTCCAAATTCAAAGCGGTGGAGGGCGGCACGAGGCAGGGAGAGAGAGAGGGGGGACTCTCGGCTCAGCCTGCAGGGACTGAGGCGGGTCGCAAAACCCCTCTCCCGGGTTTTGGCACCAGATGTAAGGTAGCCAGGTGCCGCCGGTGGGAGGTGGGAAGAAACCAGAGAGCCAAACAGCCTAATAAGCAGAAATCAGGCTTTATTGGGTACACCCCGGGCGGGTTCACAGACTCGGGGGGTCGAGTCCGAGAAGCCGCGCCCGATGCTGGGGTTTGTGATTTTTATATCTGCGCCTGTGGCAGAGGGAATTGTTGTTAGGGTTAGGTCCTGAGGGGCTATGCATGGGGGCCCCTGGAATGTGAGTCTATTGTCCCGGAAAAAACAGTTCCTGGACTAGGACAGGAGAATGGGACAGGAGTTGATCTATGAGTTTGGGGCAAACAGTTCCTGAAACAGGGAGGGAGTTTAGGTTGGGTAAGCGAGGTAACGGCTGAGCAGTTTGCCTGGTGCCAGTTCCCAGGCTCTCGGACAGAAAGTAGTATGGAGGTACCTCAAAAAATTAAAAATGGAACTTCTTGGAAAAATGGCGGCGAAGTGAACGGAGCTACACAGACCGTCTCCCAGAACCAAACTGGAATTATAACTATAACACAGACAAATCGATGGGAAAAAGCAACAGAAAAGCAGCTTGCGAGGACCATATAATGAGGGACACTGACTCCATCCCAGTAGGCTTGCAAATGCGCGAGATGGGGGCTGGGAGCCCACGGTCAGCAGCTCGGCAGCGGCCTTAGCTGGGGGAGGCACCCTCGGGTTACACTCCCAGGTGGCCCCACAACACAGAGCCAGAACAGAGGCTGAAACAGCCACAGCCACTCACCTTGGGCTCCGGCAGAGGGAGGGCGGACGGGACTGGAACTGTGGTGGGACTTTCGGGGTTTGGAGGGCGCTCAGAGCTTTGACTGAGTGCAGCCACTCAGGAAAGTGGCCACATTGCTCCTAGCCAGGGCTCTGAGGAGAGGCAGCAGCCCCTCCCTCGGAGATCAAGCAGCCCTTTCCTCGGAGATCCAACCCCACCCTGTGGGCCATTGAACTGCTAATTGAGGCTCACTAACAACCAGCATCTGCCCCACCATCCTGAAAGCCCCTTGGGTGAGCACCAGAGGAAGTTTTTCAATCAACTGACAACCCAAAATTCATCAAGTAACCTAAACTGCTAGCCTCCAGGCAAAAAGCTAGAGGATAACAGTACCTTTCCTGGGCTGGCAACTTTAACCAGGAAAGTAAGACTTGACAGTGGTGTTCAACGTGAGTCC